TTCTAAATTTTTGTACTATTTTTTAATAATATCTATTCTTTTGTAAATTATTTTTATTGATTTGTTATGAGTACCGCTTATATATCTAATAAAAAATAGAATACAGTGGGGTTTATTCTGTAAAAATTCCTTTATATTTAACGGCATTTAAAAATATTTTCTTCTTTACTTCTGTCATTATTTAAACGGATCTTTAAAATACATTAGAGGATTATCTTAAAGAAATCTGTTTAAATAATGACAGAAGTAAATTAACGAATACAAATATACTTTTAAAGGCCGCCAATATTTTTAAAGGCCGTTAAATATAAAGGAATTGTTACAGATTAGACCCCAGTATCTGTTTATTGTTAGTTCCTTTTAAGTTAATTAAATTTTGTGCACAAAATATTTATGGTTTTTAATAATTGGGAAAGTAGGGTTAAAAAAACAATTTTTATAATAGGTATGTATTTCATTTTATTAAATAGTTGGGTTAGATCTGGAAAACAAAACAAAGACAAATGTTATAATAACAGTTTAGAATAAAGCGATACTTATGTAATAAATGATAAGTTCACAATTACCGTTTTAAAATATTGCCAAGGTTTTCTAATACACAATATTTTGAATAATGAAACTTAATTTCGATGAATTCTTGTCAGTTAGAAATAGAACAACGTTAAGCAATTTTTTAGAGACGTTGTGTTATTGTACTCATTTGGTTTAATAACAATTAATAATGGATAATGGGGTGATTATAATAATAATAATTTAGTTGCCAACAATTTTCCTTTCACATAACTAATTTATAAATCAAATAATTATGTGACAGGTACCTAGATAACTAAAACTAATATTCATTAACTACAGATAAATAAAACCCAACAATTTTCCTACTACACAATTTACAAATTAAATTAATTATGAGACGTGATAATAAGTAAATATAATATACATTCACTTGAGATGTTGTTGGGAATGGGGTGTTAATACACTCTGCGACCTAAAAGATCTATTGTGCCCCTTCTGTCGCTAATGCACCAAGGAAATGTCTCAATGCCTATAACGTCCCTTCCAATCCTATCTTCCCAAGGAAGTGTAGGATTTGGAGTGGCTTCGTGTTAGGTAAATCTCTGCTCTGTCTTTTCTATTTGATATCTTCCTACTAGGTATATATGCTGCGTTTGAGAATCCACATCGGATGCATTTTTTACATCTCGAGCGTTTTTTTATCCACATCGGACACATCTGTCCCATTACATTTACTTATACTGCATCACGTGATCAAAGATTTTTTACATCTCAGATGCATCCGATGTGGATTCTCAAACGCAGCAAATGTGCCCTTGGATTCTGGAGTACTACACATTCAGTTAGAATGTGAATGGAGGTTTCATCCTCCTCTTCACAGAATCTGCATTCACTATCATCTACTATCAGTTTACTAAGGTTTCCTTTAAGTCGATAATGCCCGGTAATAATCCCTGTTACAATACGAAGCCTGTTCTTGCTCAGGCAGATGCAGGCTGTGATGTATGCCTTATTTATACACTACTCAATAAAACAACACCTTGTTGTAAGCTTTTATTCTCTAGTATTCTGATAAACACAGTAATTCAGTAATGGTTATAATACAAGACAAAACTCAAGATGAAATACGAACTTGTAATACAAGAACAAGACAATGCGCATCTGACTCTTATTTCGTACTCGTGGCGGCATCTACGTACGATCTATAATCCTACGGGGTCACAGACTACAGATGACTGTGATATAAGGAGAAACAATTATATGAAGCTGAAACATAGATGGCGTCACGGGTACTAACATTACCATTTATAAATGGGTATACAGAATACAGATCTCACACAGGCTTCCGATGTTTCCTGGTTATATTCACCCAGAAGTATCTTAGCGTGTCTTACCCTTAAGAGATTGATCCAATTATCGGTTCTTATACTGCCCAATTATTTTTTAATCTCGTCGTGGACGTTTGAACGAGAAAAGTCAGTAAATGCATCGCCTTTCAAGGGGATGCTTTAGATGTTCTTCAGACTGTACCTGTGGAAAAAACGGATGACTTTGAAAGACTTAAAGGATCGTAAGCAGAATCGAGACAAGTGTCCAAGAATACGAATTAGATATTTCCAGAATGATGCGATACTGGCAACCATTTTCCTACTACACAATTTACAAATTAAATTAATTATGTGACGTGTAACTATATAATAAGTAAATATAATATACATTCACTTGAGATAAATGAAACCTCTTTTAATTTAGACAATAAGAAAACATATCATAATAATTACATATATTATTGTGTTATTAAAATATGAATAGGTAATTAAAAAAATTACAAAATTTATTGGTTCCCGTACTAATACTTAGATTATTCAAATTAATTAAACAAAGACAAAAAAACATTTTTATTATTTATAGTTTTTGTTCAAATACTCACTTAGTTTCAGATGTGACATAGTTTCCAGTTGAGGAACAGCTTCAGGATGTGAGTAAAATAAGGGCATTACTCCTTTCATTAAAAACATTTTTCCTCCTGGAGACTTAGCAAAGGCAGAATCCTCAAAATGTCTTGAACAAATTCTACTGAATACACTCTTCATCCACATATATCTAGTTTGAGGATCTTTTGGAAACCTAAATAGGTATAAATAGTGTTTTCTTATTCATATAGGTAGGTATATAGGATTTCATGTAATACAGAATGCAACATAGTATACTTTAAAATAACTATGGTGTTCTAACAATATATTTTGTCATTAAAATAAAGCAATACTAAGATTTTATAACTAAAGTAAATGCCACTAGAGCCTTCTTAAATGTACAGTGTGCATAACAATATAACTTTAATTTAAAGATAGCCTATTAATAAATTCAAAGTTAGTAAACACAGGCACAATAAAATAATTCGAAATTCGACGTTGAATGGTATTTTAAACTTTAAAATAAATTGTTGTTGTTTAAACCTTATTTTGAATTATGATACCCCTCAAAAAAGTGTGATGCAACGGTAATGGTTTTTATTTACTTACCTATGAAACTGAATTTGAGATACTTTCTCGAGCACACAATACCACAAAGCATGTATCTTCTAGAGACCCCACGCCAATGTTAAACTTTTAAACCAAATTAGCGCCACCTTGTGTTTGGAGCTGGAACTAAAATGACAATTGACAGATGGCGGTAAATTCAAATTGTAATTTTTAGGAGTAGGTAGTAGTTTTAAATTAAATTTTAAATGATTTCCACATAAATTATTTTATAAAATAAAGTATGGAACTAGTAAGTTCGAAACTTTTATTTTACAAAATAATTTAGGTCGATTATACCAAATTTGAAGAATTAATTTGTTATAAGGGGTCTAATGTGGAGAGTTGGTTCTGCATATTTTTATTAAATAAATATAAGATATATCAATAAATAATAAAATAGAACATTCTTAAAATATGTTTATTAATAACTTAAATGAATATTATTAGATAAAAATAAATACAAATAATAATACATATTTAACGAATACTTACTTGGAGCAAATAGATATATAATCTCAAATCTTTAAAATAGGTACCTATCAATAATTTAAATGTGAAGTAGAGACTAGGATATTACATTTTATTAACACTAAAGTTATACATTTTATAAATGTCTTTTTAACTGAGGACAAATGTAATATAGGTATTGTATTAAAAGGTGAATCCTTTTAACTATTCATTCAATGATAAATAGGTATTTTCCTTCCAAATACAGATGGTGGTATTACTCTCTTATGTGAAAAATGATTTCGGAATCTAGTCCAGTGATAAATTGATTATCAATTAGTTGTTGTCCCCGTTTGTCTTTTTATGATGCAGATGCATGGTGAATATATGGTGAATCAATGAAGTTTTTCTCGAAGTTTTCAACGTAGCACCAAAATTATTGCAAAACAGTAGGAAATAAAAAAGCGAAACATCACAATTTTGCAAATAACTAAGACGAAACTATAAACAGAAACCAAAAGCCAAAGCCAACAAAAAATCACTAAAGTCAGACGGAAAAATGAAACTAACCAAGAACATAAATAAATACACGTCACATCTTTGGAGTCTTTGGTTAAGTTTTTCTCCCATAAGGCTTAAAAATGGAGTAAGAAATCATAATTTCACCAGTAGCCCCATCTAGAGTTTGGAGCAAATAGCATAAAAAATGTCAGTTGTCGGTTTTGACCTTGGTCATTCACGTGGAACCTCTATGTGCTTTGTGCACAATACAATTCACTGGCATTTTTAAGCAATTAAATGCACTAAAATAACTTAAACCACAAAAATTTTTCAATTAAAGTACGAAATAAACTCAAAATGAACCACAAAATAACCATAAAATAACTAACCTAACTAACGTAGCCCTGTCAATTTTTTGCTAACCAATCAGGTGTGTAACCAAAATAGCGAATATCCAATCAAGTCGTGTAACCACTGCTATATAGTGAGAGGAGATGCTGGTTACAAATATTGCATGATAGGGCTGTATCTATTATTTATTTATTTATCTGAGAGCGCTACACTTTCGATGCAAAGGAAAAGACCTTTTGTGGTCCATTTATACAAATTGTATGGATGGAACGACATTTTCAGAAGTAACGTAGCTCAGTGCTACACTAGGCGAGTTCGGTCAGTCAGGGGCTGGAGCGGGACAAATTTTAGGGTGCTTTTAAATGACATTTAAGCGTGTTAAACTGTCACTAATCGGACTAAACCGAACGCTAAAAGAGTCGTTTGTAGTTAAAAGTGTTAAAGGAGTTAAAGGAACGTGGCAAACCGAACGCAATGACTGTCGATGCAAAGGAAAAGACCTATTATGATGGATTTAGAATATTATGGATTTTGAACATTGATTATATAGCGATCTCATAAAAGTCCATCCCTACCCCTATCGTTGACCGTTTTTTTGACATTTATTTCCCGCCCAGCGGTTTGTAATTAGTTGAGGTTAGCGTGTGTTTCGAGGTTTTGTTAGCTTGTCTTGATAAAAAAACTCAGAAAAAATGTCTGGACGTGGCAAAGGTGGTAAAAGCAAAAATAAATCAAAATCTCGTTCAGCTCGTTCAGGACTTCAATTTCCTGTAGGGAGAATTCACAGATTATTACGTAAGGGACACTACGCTGAAAGAGTCGGGGCGGGGGCTCCGGTTTATTTAGCTGCCGTACTGGAATATTTGGCCGCAGAAGTTTTGGAATTAGCAGGTAAGTGCTGAGGAATTTGTTTACATAGTGACTATCATCAAATTAATTATGTTTGACGGTTTCTCTCACCAGATAAATGCTGTTTATATGCATTGTCACGGTGGTGGATTATTTTATAATAGGTCATGATGCCTACATTTATCATCAATATCTCCACTTTTCCATTAGGTGGGGTCGGCCATTTTTATTTTTCTCAATTTTGTCTTGTTCTAGGGTAACCTTTTTCAGTCTCCATGCTCTGTACCCACATGTTAAGGAATACAGTTTCTATATGTGTTCTTGGGTCTGTTATTTCTTCACTCAACGTATAATCAACGTTTTTCTAGTAACATACTTTTACCTAAAGATACACATAAACTGACCCTAATACTTTCAATTTTGTTCCATCTTATGACCATTAATCCATAGCCACTTCATACCTATCAGCAATCTACTTCTTTCTACTTGTATCTTTCCGTTGCTGTGCAATATTCTGGTTTGTACTTCAAGGCTTGTTAACAAAATATTCGGTTTCCCTCCAATTTAATTATTAATTGTGAGTGATATGCTGATATGCCAGGTGGTATATAAAGCTGATTCCAAATACTTAAAGGTTGTTTTCAGATTTTATGTGCTTCTTAAGCACCCTAAATGTTTTGATCTTTTAGGATAAATTACAAAATTCACTAGCAAAGTTCTTGAAATGCTGTAAAAATTCTATACTGCTCTTATGGCAACAAATTAGACTATACATCTCTTATATATACTGAATTAGCTGTATAAAGCTGCCTCTCAAAATAGGTTAATGCTGTTTACAATCTTTATTCCCTGTGAATTCACTGGCAAAGTTATCCAATTGCATTAAAAATTGTATACCTACTATTCTTTTAACCCGTTCACTGCCAGAGGACGCTTTAAAGCGTCCGCGTTACCGCATGAGTAACGCTGGCACTTTAAAGAGCCCATGACTACCTGTTGGTAAATGCGTAGTAAGTAGGACTTCGGTACTTAGGTGACTTCAGGGTTAAACTGATTGGCAGTGAACGTGTTAATGGCAACAAATTATTCATATCTAGTCAGCAATCTTAATCGGCTGCATAAAGCTGAACACCAAAATTCAAAAATTAGGTTCCAAGTGCAGTTGATAAACTTTATTTGACTAAACTTGAATAAATACTGTAAGCATCCTTTCAATTAAATTATTCTTCATCACTTGATAAACAGATACCTGCTTATTACGTAAACTGCTTTGTGACAAAAATATTACAATTCAACATTAAAGAATACGATTTTGGAAATAATTGGGATTATTTTGCTTTTAGGTAATGCTGCAAGGGACAACAAAAAGACCAGAATCATTCCAAGACATCTACAACTAGCCATCAGAAATGACGAGGAATTGAACAAGCTACTGTCTGGTGTGACCATTGCACAAGGAGGTGTATTGCCAAACATCCAAGCTGTTTTACTGCCAAAGAAGTCTGGTTCAGGAACCGTTGCTGCAGGAGGAAAATCTAACAAGACGCAATCACAGGATTATTGAGTTAAATTTTTGTTTTTTTTTTTATAAGGCTTATTTTGTAATTGTAGTATGTATTTTAATGTAAGTTATATTGTTTATTAATAAAGATCGTAACTTTTATTAAATGTTTATTCTCTTTGGAAAGAATGAATTAGGGTTAAGTTGTTACAATGGTTGTCTACTCTTTATTCCATACCTTCTATGTGCACTTAAGATTAAATTTAAGAAAAATATGTGACACTCGGGGACTGCCGCGGTAAAGCTATTGCATAGCATTTTTTTTATCAACTTATGCAATTATAATTATTTATTTATGCAGTATTTTTTTTCCTTTGGTATTAATTAAAGTTTTTTCTTCGATATTAATTCAAGTTACACTTTTTGAGCGTGGTGACCGATAAGAAAACAATTTTTTTCTTTTATTGAATAAATGAGAAGTTAATATTGTTTAAAATATTTTTATTATCTTACAATACATGTAGGTTATTCAGGAATTTTTATCATTGAAACTATAGGTTTATGGTAACTGAAATAAGAAACATAAGTTTAAGACTTGATATCCTCTAAATATCTGGAAAATACCGCGTCAATGGTGGTCCCATATTTTGTTGTGCATTCTTGTGGATCATTATTCATTTTCAAATTCAATTTTTCCGAAATTGTGTCTAACAGAGATAGAATCAGTTCCCAGACAACACACCAAATCCCAGAGATATCCACAGAATCTTTTGTGGATATCCAATATATCCACAGGATATCAGAAATATTCCGTGGATCTAATATGGATATCCAAATGTCCGTCTATATCCAGAATATAGAAGATATCCTATGGATTATCCAGCAAAATAGCTAACGGGTATCTTCTAGAAAATACAAGAAATTCCAGAGATATCCACAGAATATATTTTGTGGGTATCCAATATGGATATCCAACCAAATGTCCGCCTATATCCCAGGATATAGAAGAATTCGGATTTTCAGCAAAATAATTTACGGGTATCTTTAGTAGAGGTTCATAAAAGTAACCAATGATTAGTGAATAACGCCTTAAGAAAATAGCAGAGAAAAAATATTTTCAACACTCTGCCTTTGATTTTGCCCACTAAGGAGAAAGTCATCCTTATTAGGACTCTTCAGCAATAAATGGAAATTCTCGACTCCAGTCTCTAATTGAGTCTGATTGGCAAACAAATTTCGATCGAACTCAATTACGGCGGGTTGAGCATGAATAGATGCGAAAGTGGTATCGCCATCTATACTTAGTAAGCAAAATAAAAAATTACAACTAGTGGATATCCACGATGGTTTGCGTTCGCGCCTAGACTTTGATTATTTAGTGGATGTCCATGGGATATTGAATACACCTTAAAAAAATTAATTTTAAATATCTGAACGGTACTATTAGCCACAATGGCGTAATTTTTTAATAATTTGCTATATAATTACTATTATTTATGGACATTTGCATGTCTATAAATTACATCTCATGGATATAAAATAGATATCCACCATGGACTGGACATTCAGTGGATATTGGGATGTTCAGTAGATATCCAAAGGATTTGGTGTGCTGTCTGGGATTATGAGCAGTTAGCAGCTAGTCTACACGCATACGTCTAGTCACACAAACACCGTGTTGAAGTCTGCCGAACTGAAACGACGTTAGACGATGCACGGTTTTCAACGCCGCACCGCTGCACGGAATTTCTGTTTCGATTTTCCGTTTTTTGCGATTTTCGATTTTCTTTTATTGAATAAATGAGAAGTTAATATTGTTTAACGCCGCACCGCTGTGCCGGTCGGAGTGGGGGGTGTTAGGTCTTTTTTCGTTACGGTCGTTACGGAATTTCTTAATTCGGTCGCCGCACTCAAAGCCCGCGATAAAAGCTATGCAATAGCTTAAAAAAGTTTAGAAAAACAGCTGGATGAGAAGTGAAGGTTCTCTTGATATTAAAGTCGTAAATAAAATGAATCTTCTTTGAATGGTAGGTGTAAACAAACTACTAATGAAGATTTATTCAACTCGCAAAGTTTATCTTCTTATTTTATGACCAATTGGCAACTCTTACAGCACTTCTATGCAGGGCAAAATAGACTTACCCAAAAAGCGAATTTTTACAACCAATAGAAACCTAAATCAAATAATGCTCATTCATTTTAAGGACGAATTTTAAGATATGAATGAGTTTAGGGTCTGATTAGAAGAATGCTATTTTAGATATTCGTTTATTTGCAATTTCAATATAGAGTATCAGAACAAGTGTAACTTACATTTCACAAAAAAAAATCATAAAAGTTCTGCATCACTTGGAAATACATAAGCATGAAATTGATGTCCGTGATATCTACGTGGCCCACTCAAACAATTTATTTTTGTGGAGCACTCCCTAGTCACAGTTTGTAGCTAAAGAATCAGTTCGCTTACTGCCCGGCATTTTTGGTCTCAATGTTTCAGTTTATACATTGCCCAACTCGGATTTGTATACCTGGCGCATACAGAATCATCATACAATGCTTAATAAAATTTTATATACATATACTACTTAAACAAATATGATTGTGTCCCCTGAATTTAAAAAAAAATAGGTTTTTTATATAAATTTTAGACGAGTTCTTGGTTAAAATTAAAAACAAGTTTTTGAGAGCAAACCTTTCGACGTTGAACTAATATTCAAATGCACTAAAAATTAAAAATGTTAACATTTGTGACGTTTTGGTTCATAAAGCGTTTACAAAAGAATACCTTAATTATTATTGTTTAAACAGAAATAATAACTAATAAAATAGCACCAATTTATATTTTTTTGAGCATGCCAAAGCTCTTGTTTTATTTCTGACTAATCGATCGTGTCCGAGCGTTTTTCTGAACACGCCCCTATTTATTTATTACCGAATTTATTCCAATTAGCTGTTCCACGTACACTGTACGCACGTTGTGATAATGTTAATTATGATAAACTACGATTCGATTAGTGTGTGTAACAAAAAAGTCCTCGTCCTTCTACCGAGCTTCTAAAAAAAGCTTCCAACCCAAGTTCCTTTCAAAGATATTAAAGTACAACAGGACATATGCCGTAAAAAAGGACATTTTAAGCTTTAAAAAGTCGCAAGGACATTTTGCTTGAAAAAAGGACAGATGGCAAGGCAACCCTAGATTCGATGCAAAGTTTGGTACAAATTTGTGAATGAAATAATGCTCAAAATATATTTTACTTAAATTTATTTTGTCCTCAAATAAATCGAGTATGTACAATTTTTTTTATTATTGGGTAATGAGCAATTATATTCTTTGTTTCGCCGTTCCTTTTTTTATATAGATGCGCTCACTGAGATAGTCGTTGCAATAACATACGGATAACCCTTGTTTCACTGAAACAGTTTCAGCCTCATCTAGGGGGAGTGTTATGTAGTGTAGTCCTACTAGAATACAACCGGCTCAATACCAGTGAACTACCCCCTTATATTCAGATCTACCTACGGTGCGAAGATTGAGAAATAATTATTTAAGGTAGTCCAACCCTGCAGCAACATCAAGCATATTCGTGTAAAATGTGAGTCTAGTCGCCCGATCTGTAATTTACCCCACTCAGCTGAGCTGTTAACTTATTAGCTATTTGCGAGGGTTAATTGACATTTCGGTAGCCCAGACTCTTGTAATCTATTATGCTGGTATAATAATTGGAAGGCAATGCACATCTGGACGTGCTATTTTTTTTTACTAAGTTAGTGGCACTGGATATAAACCAACAGGCCAGTCAATTGTCAGGTGAACAAATAAAAATATCATATAACAAACTTTATTATTTTATAAATTATATTAAAGTTGCTCTACCTTAATAACTAAAATAACCTGAACTTAATATGGTTTTAAATGTTTTGTTTATTTTTGTTTTTTTTTCTATTTTTTCTCTTTTATCTTTATTTTTTTTTTCTTTTCTTAACATTTTTTTTCGAGTAAGGTGTACAAATTTTTTTTATTGGTAGCATCGCTACTTACATGTTTTATTTCTATTTCCTAATTACAGTTTTAATTTGAGTGTTTTGACGAAATTATAGTTATATATACTGTCAAATGTCAGTAGATATTTTAAATTTATAGGTAAAATTTTGTTGTTAATTAAGTTTTGGTATAATAAATTAATTTCTAAATCGTTTAGAATACAATCCAAAAATATATGTTTTTAAATCAGCAATCTCATCACAAATACACAAATCAGTATCTATTATACCTATTCGCTTCATATATTGAGGGTATAAAGCATGATTAGTTCTAATTCTGCTAATCGTTTGGATTAGTGGTCTATTTGACAGCTTATCAAACCACGGTTTTACCCTTATATTAGGTTGAATAGATTTATAAAAATTACCTGTTTCCTTCTCTACATATTTTGCTTGCCAATTTTGATCCTTTTTATATCTGAAAAAAGTATTTAGATCGGATAGGGGTATTTTAAAATTACTTATGTAATTAAGTTTTGTTGCAGTTTTAGCCAAAAAGTCTACTTTTTCATTATTAGGTATTCCCATGTGGGCTTTGGCCCAAGATATGTATATTCGTTTATCCTGATTTCTTGCCTCAAAATTTAGTTTTAAAATGTCCAAAATTATGTAATCAACTTTTGAATTAAAATTTTGAAACTTTTGAACTAAACTTTTGCAGTCTGTGAAAATGACAAAATTTAATTCCTCTTGATTTAGACATAACGAAAAGGCTTTTTTACGGCCATATGCACCATTGTCCAGCTAAGTCCTCTGTTATCTAACAGTAGTATAAAAAATAACAGTGTGTTAACAGAATTTGCTATGCACCATCTATTTACTAGTTTCAGTAAGAAATCAGTCTGTTGCGTACATATTACTGTCAATATCCTATAAAACCTTATATAGCCCTTCAAAATAAACAAGTAAAATTAAAATAGTCTGATAAGTAAAATTAACAGGCCAAATTTGGTTTGTTAATTAACAACGCCTTTAACAGATTGTTAGTCGTATGTTGTAATGGTGAATACAAAATTGTCAAT